TTCATCGTGACAAAAAATAAGAAGTTCTTCTCTGTCATAATCTGTTTGGTCAATGAAACCACTGAGGCCAAGGAAAAAGCTCCCTCGCTGTTTTCCATGTTAGCACTCTCCACATGAATTTCTCTCTGCTCATACTGACTGGTGCTGTATTTACCCGTGCAACACATACAGGCCGTCGCCAGCGCCGCGATCAGAACAGCGTAAGCCTGGAAATAGGCAAAGTTGTCCATGTTATCCGACACGAGCCCACAGAAGAGGATGCTCGTGGCTCCAATCAGCGTGGCCACCTGGTTGTACTTGATGAGCTGCAGCCTGCTCTCGTGCCTGCTGGAGCTCTCGGCAAAGAGCGCGCACTGCGCCAGGAGCACGAACGTCAGCAAACCGTCGAAGGCACACAGGGACACCACGAGGTGGAAGCCACACAGCCAGTCCCCCTCCTCGTAGTGCTTCCAGGGGAACCACGGCAGCAGGAAGGCCAGCCCGTACAAAGGAGCTCCGTATAGGATTGAGAACTGGCGCCTGGCGCAGCAGCGGAGTTTGGAGTTGTCTTGGATGTAGCCAAAGAGAGGATCGTTGATGGCGTTCCACACCATAAACACAGCCTGCCACAAACAAGGCACACACAAGGGGATTGAGCCTACAGAGGTTACAAGAACACAGAAGTAATACACGTTTATTTAAAATAAATCTCTGTTCAAAGAATAAATAAAGATGAAAGCTCCTCTGGTCGAAACAGACCAGATCGAATTCTTAAAGATTTTTACGGGTTTATAGAAGTCTTGATAAAATAAGGTGACTAAGTAGGCAGGTGGTGCCCAACTACATGTGAAATAAACTCCTTGTCTCCAAGACTTCACTCTTTCAAAACCTTATATATCTGGGCTTTCATCCTGCAAAGGCCAGACATTACTCTCACAGCGAGTTAATTCAAAACACGAGCTGGCCCATTACTTTCAGGAGACCATTTACGACAAGAGTTACTCACGTGGATAATGACTCCCAGAATAAATGCAGTGTTTAAGTACTTAAACAGTCCATAGGAAAGCACTAATGTCAAACTTATCTATGGAGCTGAGATGCAAGATCAGTTTAGAAAATTACTACGAGCTATCAAAGTTAAAAATCTTTTCAGCAATTAAAGCCTGGCGATGTTCACTCTATAGACTCAACGATGCGCTTTATGTATACTTTCAGTTGCTTATGGATTAACTAAATTCAACGTTAATTTACTGCTAATTATTTACAATGAACCCAAAATTAATTTATCGGCAAAAAAAAAAAAAATCACTTTGTTGTAACAGCACAGATGCACAGCACAGTGTGGTAATCAGAGTATTCCATTGGACAATACCTGTGCTTGATTAAAGGCTCCTTCGGAAATTTTGTAGCGGTTTAGGAAAAGCTTAACGTAGTAGAAATTAAAGATACTGTTCATCATTCCAGCCCCTAATGTAGTCATGGAATAGGCCAGAGCATTGGGATGAATTCCCCAAACAAACTTCATCTTCCAAGAGTACAGGTCTCTTCCTCCTTAAGTTACAAAAGAGAATTACAACAGTTAGAATAGTTTTCCAAATCAAAATATCAGGGGGGATTTGCTTGTTTCAGAGATGTGGAAATGGAGGAAATTTCCTCTTCTTCCTTCCTTTTCTTTTAGATGAGAAACACATTTTACTGAGCTATAAGACACTGAGCCTAAAACTGAACAGATGAAAAATAATAAGTCAGTGCTTAAAAATCAATGGAATAAGTTGTCAAAAATTCAAAAGAGTCCCTTCCTAACTGGTGCACAGACTCCATTTAAAACCTGCTGTTGCAAACACTCATGTTGGTGTAAAGGTCAATGTAATTGCGTACATTTTAGATCTTTCTTGCTAGTTGTGTATTCTCAAAATTATGGACTGTGTAGGAATGAAGTGACTCATATCCTTATGTATTCCACTGCTGCAGCATGCACATGGGTGAATATTCAGAGGAATATTTCCTTCAAAGCAAATACCAAGTTTTGCCCTTCTGTTTTTAAATGTTAATTGTTAACAAGCCATGGAAGCAATACTTTCACCTAATAAACCATAAAACAATCAAAACACCTTTTAATTAACATTTTCATTGTATAGAAGACGGCATGTAAATAAAACCTAGCAAGTAACAGGTACAGCATTTTAAGTATGTCCAAATAACTAGAGATTCAGCCCAAGAATACAGATTTCTTTGATCTATCAATCCGATATCCAGCCAACAAATTTGTAAGATGCTGACTTTTTCCATCTATCCAGCAATTAATTAAGCATGTTTTGTATAAACTATGCCATGAACAGACCCAGGTCCAGGGAACCTCTGCCTTTTAAATCTGAGTAATGACTACCTGATGCAGACCTTGACCATATTTGATGCTGTAAGCCCAAAGCAAACATACTCATGTGGGTTTAGCTGAGGCTTTATTCATCTTTACATCTGTTGAAGGAGGCTGCCACTGATTTCAAGTCCAGATTTCAGCCTTACTATGCATGTGAACTCAGAGCTTTTACTACCTGTTTTTTGTCAATACTTCACATGTTTCCCCTCTGCATATTAACAATTTTATCCTAAAGTGCAATTTTCACATATCCATCAAAACACCTAGTTTGAATATCCGCTTGATCAGCAGATCTGTAAGCAGCTCCCTGAACTCCTCATAAAAATAACCAGGGAAGAAACAGGAAATGAAAACCAAGGCTATTTCCAACCTTCCTGTGGTTTACAAGACAGGCTGTTGTGCACAAAGGTGGGAACCTCCCAATCACCAGGTAAGAGCCAAGCAAAAACCACAAATCCAGCAGGAACTGGAGAAGATGGAAGAGCTTTCCCACCCCTCCAACAAAGAGAATGAACCCTTGAAGAGCAAATAAAGTGTGGATGCAGTTTTGCATTTATATGTGTGATGCTCTGATATGAACCACAATGCAAAGAGTAGATAAATTCACAGCTAAGAAAAAAATCAAGCTGGCAAATAACTTAAACCTAAGCTTCTTTTATTAAAGCCAATTTATTTCTAAGAATATGACTGCCTTTTTAAATAATTGAGGATGATTGTGATGTAGTTTATTTTTTCACAGACCTACAGCTATAGAGACGATTCCACTTTCAGGGAATGGAATTTTACATTTTTGTAGCAAGTTTGGTTTCATAAGCTTTTACCAAGAAACCTAAAATAAAGAATAAGGTTATTGAAAGGGTGCCCAATTTAAATGCTCATTTTTAAAAATAAATGTTATATTAACATTAAAATCACTACAGTGAGTGTATTGATACGTGTCATATTTGCTTTTTCAAGCCTCCACAAATACATTTAATGAAGTGATTTATATAATAGATATTAGGACTTTTGGAACAGGTCTTCCAATGGAGAATTAGGAGACTGCCCTTTCCTTCAAATTCCACCAGCACCAAGAATTGATGTGCTTCACACTAACATTACCAGCGAACAGCTATTGCTCAAATCACCTTTGACTCAATTCCTTCCTACACAAAAATAAAGGTCCCCTCAATGTCAGAAAAACTGAAAGATATTTGAAATTTCTTCAACAAAAAAATGCACAAACAGGCCTCTAATGTCATGACTAATTATAATATGCAGGATCTGACACAACTCTTTACACTAATTGGTACATCTGGCCCTGCCCCCTGTTTATGAAATAGGTTCAATTAGAAGTTGAGGTACCACACTTCCTTTCCCAGATGTTCTCTTTAATAGTACTACAATGAAATCATGCATGAGCATCCCCTCCCTCTTCTTAATAGTCAGCCTTTCTATTGAGCAGGTTAAAGCACAGGTGTTGACATTGTGTGACTCACAGAAGGCAAATCGGTTTCAGAAATTTCTGGTGGTTGCAACTGTGTTAATACACAGGAGCCCAAAGGACGGGCTATTTGAGAGACGCCATGTGGCATTACCTGCGCTTCTCCCAGCGCCGGATGACAACTGCTAAAAGAAACTAGAGCACGACTCGAAAGGAGAAAAGTGGATTCCAGGAGATAATAACAAATGTTGGCTGAGGCGCACTAGACATCCTGCTCAGTCCCGGGTCCCAAACCGCTGTGCAATGCTCACAGTCCTGACGGACTGGCTGGACACCACGATCTTCCTCATCTTTCTAACGTGACCTGCACCACATTAAGGGACAGCTAAGAACAAACGCTGTCCCGAGGGGTAACGCTGAGGGGCGATGCTGCCGGAGGTGCCCTCAGAGAGCCCCTGGCACAGCCGGGCTGCGGCACCGCCCGAGTGCCCGCTCCGTCCCCGGGGCTGCGCTCCTGATGGGCACGCAGGGCTGAGCGTTCGGAGCCGCTCCTCTGTCAAAACTGGGCGAGCCAGGCTCATTTCAGCTCAGCAGGACCCCGGACGGAGGACACGGCTCCCTCCTCCTCGTGAGGGAGAGGCGACAGCGGGGGGCGACCGCCCCGAGGGAGGCGTGAGGATGGAGCCGGCGCTGCTCGGACTGACCCTGCACCACGCTCTGCCCTGCCCTGCCCTGCCGCACTCCGGGCTCAGCGGGGCGGCTGCCCGCACCTGGGCGCCCCGCCGGGCCGCTCCTCACAGCCTCTCCCCTCAGCTCTCCCAACGCGGGGAGACCACGAGCCCCGGCTTCCCCTACGCCGAGTCGCGCTGCCGCACCGCCGGCCGTGCCGGTCCCGCTCCACCGCGGAGCCGGCGGACACCCCTCGGCAGCCGCTCCCCGCCCGCGGCCGCTCCCAGCGCCGACCACCGCCGCCCCCTGCGCGGGCACCGACCCACCTCCTGTGGCGGGGACTGCGCACCGCGCGGCGGGGCGGGACCTCATCGCCCCGGGCCAGCGCCCTCTCCGCTCTCATTGGCTGCTCGGAACGAGCTCGCCTTGTGATTGGTGCGGGCTCCGGTCGATCTGCCCGGCGGGCGGTTCCCCATTGGCCGCCCGCCGGGGAGGCGAGGGTGCCGCGTTTGAATCGCGGGAGGCGGGGGGCGGGCGGCGGCCGCTGCCACGTTGCCGCCGGCGCAGCCCGGCCAGAAGGGGGAGAGGTTCGGCAAAGTCCGGAACCGCTCGGCAATGGCCGGAGGCGGCTGCTGAGGCGGGGAGAGGCTGCCGGGCTCGCCCTGCCCCGCTCGGCGCGAGGGGAATCGTCGGGTGGGCTCCGCCGCCGCGCCCCCTCCGTGAGGGGAAGGTGCGCGATGCTGGCCGACAGCCTGGTGGAGGAGTTCGAAATCCGCGAGGATGAGCCCTGGTACGATCAGCAAGACCTGCAGCAAGGTGAGCCGGGACGGGGGAGAGCGGGGAGCGTGTGAGAGAGGGGGTGCGGAGAGCCGCGTGTGTAAGGGAAGGGGGTGCGGCGAGTGGGGTGTGTGAGGGAAGGGGCCGTGGGGATCCGCCTCGGGGCTGTGTGAGGGAAGGGGCTACAGCGAGCCGGGTGTGTGAGGGAAGGGGCGCGCAGAGCCGCGTGTGTGAGGGAAGGGGCCACGGGGGTGTGTGAGGGAAGGGGCTGCGGCAGGGAGGGCGTGTGAGGGGCGGCGGGGACACACCGGCCCGGCGGGCGCGGAGGGGCGGCGGGGAGGGCGCTCGGGGTCGCGGGGCGGCGGCGGGAAGGGCGGGTCGTGCCGGGCTCGGGGGGTCCCCGCACGGCCGCGCTGCCCGCCCCGCGGGATCGCTGTCACCGGGAGAGGCTGCGGCCGCCTTTGTTTGAGACAAGGAGCCGCCGCAGCCGAGCGCGATCGTGTCGGGGTTCCTCTCCGGCCGCCGGCAGGGAAGCGGCTCCGAAAAGTTGCACCTTGAACGGGAGGCGAAGCGGCTGCTGCTCGGGGCGGGCGCTGGGAGCACCGGGGTGGGATGCGCTATTGCGCCCTGTTGAGCTCTTTGTAAGGGCTCCCAGTTCGGTGGAGGTGTAGTTGTAGCAGTGCTCGATTAGTTACAAGTGTCTTATTAAAATCTTTTCAGGTTTTCTTATTAAAATACACAAATAACTCCGCTACACCTCAGGATTCTACATTTCTAGCTCCTGTATGTCATTCCATCAATAGGTCTTAAAACATCATATGGAAGAGGTAGATCCTGTTCTCATTTCACAGATGCAGAAAGAGCCTCAGGAATACAAGTATAATTGCACTAAAAATCTTCAGCAGGCATGATATGGAAAGAATGTGCAATTTCCTTAAGAGCTTAGTGGCATTTATGACTGGTATTTAGTTGGTTCTACTTTTTGTTGTTAATCCCGAGTTTGTTTTAAAAGGTCATCTCGAAGCTGTGAAGTGGCTTCCTGCAAACCCGCTCCAGTCTTACGCTTTTTGCTTTTAGATTGAAATACATTAACGGGGTTGCTGGGTGCTGCTGTTCTGTAAAGCATAAGGAAAGCTAAGCCGTATTCACACTGAGATCAGGCATCCGACAGCAGAAACTTTGTTTTGACACAGGAACAGGTCTCTCTAATTGTCTGCTGTATAAAATATCTAACTGTTTGAAAGCTGTATTTAGATACTCTTTGCCTGAAATAGATGTTTTCCTGGCTGTAGGATACAAACAAGTCAGTTTAAGTAAGATCCTGAAACCATAGTTTGCTGTCAAAGAGAGGAGAGATGAAAATTTGAAGCAATGTTTTTACTCAGTCAGTGTTTATGGGATAGAAGACCTACAAAGAGACTTCACAATGTATAACAACTGACTTCTTGCTTTCTTGATGTTTCTTTACTTTCATCTCTTAATTAAAAAGAGTGAAATAATCACCAGTTGACTCTCTGTGAGCTTTTAAGGAACAGTATTCCATTCTCGAGGTTAGTGCGCTCTCACCATGTGAACAACCCTTTTTCTGGGGATTCTCTCTGTAAGCCTAAATGGACGTGACTAATAGCCTTGCCAAAAGGGAAAGGAGGAAGGAAAATAAACACATGGGCAGGTTGAAATGCAACGAAGAAGCTCCTTACAGGAATGCTGCACTTCATTTCTGGAGTCTGAGGGATGAACTTCCTCGTCCTAAACCTGTGCTGTGCCGGTGTACATAAACAGGGCAGTAAGATTGCTTATCAAGGCTCGTGAAACTCCCCACAACCCAAACAATCAGTGCATGTTTAAAAACAGAAGTAGGTTTATGAGAAAAGCTGGGTTGTAAAACCTTAGCAAGCACTCAGAAACAAACTTGTAGCCCTTCTCAGCCAGCCTTTGAAACTTCTTAAAATTAGGGTAGGGTTTTGGAAAACCTTGACAGCTTGTACGTACCAAAGCTCTTGCCTTGACAATGGAGATGAGATTTTCTGGCGTGCTGTTCATGAAAACAGAATGCTGATGGAATTCTTGTAAGGATGAGAACAGCCGTCCTTCTGCAGTGTCCAAGTTTTGCTGCAGTATGCTGACCTTTGAGAAAGAATTCTTTTATATGGCTGCTCTTTTTACATCTTGCTGTTACTCACTTTTACAGAACAGAGAGTATTCTGAATATAGAAGACATGAAACCAAGTAAAAAAAATCAAGAGTTTAATTTTACAGTTAAGTAAACTTCAACAAGGCTTATTTATATATCTTGCACTACTAATGCCTTTTGCTGTTTAAAAGAACAGGCTTAACTTTAGATTGAAAATTCTCTGAATAATTTTGCTAGGTGGGCTATGAAAAAGTGGAAGAGAAGGATTTTGGTACTGTTTTTATCTCTTTTTCAATGATAGTAATGCTGTCAGAAGAGAGTGTGAAGTGCTGGTAAGTGAAGGCTGTTCAGCATCACGGAAGACGAATCCTTGAAGTCTTGTTTTGTCTCAGAGCCTTCTGATGGGGCTGTTAAACTCCAGCACAACTAATCAGATTTACTAAAACGAAGATCTTAAGATCTGCACACAGGCAGTTTGCATTATTAAAAACCTCTCTGCTTCCCTCTTTGTGGTGGAAAGGAAAAAATGCATGTCTGTGTCAGAACTTAGCTGTTGCTTTACATAAATTTACAGCAGAAGATGCAATGTGCTTCCAGTGTTCTACAGTAACTCTCTCAAGAGAAATGTAAATTAACAATTTTCCTCCTGTATCTGGAGAACATGTGTTTTACATATCTCATTGTAAAATTTGCTCTTTATAGGGCTTAGAAATACTTGACAATGCAGAAAAAAGGACACAAAGCAAATTCTTCATTTTAGAAGAGGTGAAATTATTTCAGTTCTTGCTTTCCCTGGAGTTCAGGTCTTACTGTGTGTTCCTGAGCGCTTCCACCCGGATTCTCCCCCTCAGAAACAAATTGCCCTAATTATAAAATAGCAGGTTTCTCCCATTTGTGCTTCTGCCAGTCTAATAAACAGAATGAGAGTGTAAGTATGACATGAATTCTGTTATCCAACCTATCCCAAGGACCGTTGGTATGTGCTACTTGATTTAGGAGGTGATGGGGCATTCAAGAATGAAACTGTAAACTCTTATATGCACTTAAACATCAAAACAAACTTTCACTTTGGGAAGGGAAATGACAGCAAGTAATTCCATTATGCATTATGTCTTTAACATAATCCTAAATCCTCTCTAAAGCTCTTATTCTACTCTATTAAAATAAAAGAATGGACTATTTAGTCTTTGCCCTGAATGATGCCAGTACTGCTGACTAGTTGTAAAGATTGTAGCTCCTAGTAAAGATCTGTGTAGTGTGAGAACTTGGGAATGGGGACTCCATTTTCTATAGGGTAATGGATTTGCAGGATTTGAAAACCACAGTATTCTGTAATGACAGAACAAACATCTTGGTTTCTGACTGGGAGTTACTCTGTCCATGGGTAAACAATATGAAATCTGTTTACAAAATAGGAAAAATTTAAGTAGGACACCTTAAGATTTCATTATCCAAGTACTTCAAACCCAGCTCTAGGATAGGCTGTGTTCCTTAAGGCATGGTGCTGTGTAAGGATAACCTCCTAAATAGAACTCAGTGTGCCATGGGGCTCCTAGTTGGACATCTTCGGAAACTCTGAAGAACTCCCATGCACTGGGATTTCTTTGAAATATTCTTGTGGCACTGATGCTAAGAACCTGACCTTAAGGTAGGAGACAAGGCACTGGAGTTGTAAGAGAGAGTGTAAAAGAGGAGCACAGCTGTTGTTTTGCCAGAGTTGGACATCTGCAACTTTACAGAAAAATGTTTGTGCTCACTTGTCCTTGGAAGTCTGAATTTGGTCTTTGGCTTATGGATGGAGATGGAGTAATCCTTTTGGCCAGGCTGCCAAACTGAAGGTTAGCACAAAACAATCCTGGGCCAGGGCTGGATCTGTTACAATGCCAGGCTGATAAGATAATTGCGAAGGGGCAGGAAAGACATAAGATAACATATTAAAACAAGGGCATTGCAATCAAGGGAAAATGGAATGCATTTTCTGCTCCAGCTATAACTACTGATGATAAAATACATCTCTGGTTTATTAATTTAGGTCTTGAAGTGAATCAGAGTTTTTCTTGACTTTTCTTCTGTCTCATTGCCATTACTGATGCAAGTTCTATGTGAAAACTAACTAGGTTGTATTGTGTGGATGCAGGTCACGGTCCAGGCGAGGGGAAGGAGGTGGAAAATTGGAGAGTTTTAGAAATCTCTTGTATTCTTAACATGTAATAATACCCTGCAGAGTAATTACAATTTTAGCAATAACACCAAGATGTATTACTTTGTCACATTATGTTAGCTTTTAAATTACACGTTTTTAAACATAATAATGTAGAATATCTTGCACTACTGATGCTGCTGAACAAATATCTTCCCTCTAGAATGGAACTGAGAGTTCAGATGACTTATTTCTTAATTTGCAACAACTACAGTCACTGCACCCTGGAGGTGATTGAAGATGACTGGAGTGAAATTGAGATTAAGTGCCTGAGAACAAATGACATTTAAAGTGATGTTTTGGAGCACATGAAACAATTCTCGTCACCTGGGTTTATGAGCTTGAAAGGCAGAATAGCTGCATGTCTTCATCAGTTTTCTGTCTTTTGATGTTGTTCTTTCACCATAAGAAAGCACCTGAAACTCTCATTTAGCAGTTTGATCCCGTGTTATGCTCTACTAAAGTCTAAGCTCACTTTCTTTTTGGGGGAGGGGTTATAATGGCAGTAAAAAAAGTACCTTGAGTATCTGATTAACATGCTTCAAAATCAGATTCTATGATTGTTTCTATCACTTACCTGCAAACGTGATTCCTTTGTTTAGACCTTCACCTTGCTGCTGAGCTTGGGAAGACGCTGCTGGACCGTAACACTGAGCTAGAGGAATCCTTGCAGCAAATGTATGCAACAAACCAAGAGCAACTGCAGGAGATTGAGGTAAAATATCGAAGGGCTCCAGATGTTAAGGCATCTAGAGCTGCAACATAATAGTTAAAATCTGAATTTCTTGACATCTGATGGAAAATACTGAACAATCTTTCACCACTTCTGCTGCTTTGAGAATTTGAGAAGCTGTATGGGTCGATCACACTTAGAACTGTTTCTCTGAGCACCAGAAGCTTTATGCCATTAAATGCCATGTTGGATTGGGCTTGTTTAATGAGAAATGATTGGTATTTTTCTTTTTTGTACACAAAAGTTACTTCAGTTATTTTTATTGCTGAACTTTGCTGATCTTGCCAGGTAAAATGACATTAAGTTATATGACGATAAATGCTTTAATAATTTAAATTATTATATGAAAATCTTAATGGTTACTGCACTGAAATTTAAATGCTGATAATGCAGGAGAGAGATTTAAGTAGAATCTGGGGATATGTACTTCCACTAAACTGAGGTGGGGTAAAGGAAACTAAAGTCTATTTCAATGTAAAAAACCCTGTACAATGACAAAGAAAGCCAACAAACAAATAACAAAACCCAGAAAATACCCCACTTAAATAGTATCGTAGTATAGGACATGGTGGATATTTTGTTCTGCATTTTCCAAGGAAAATAAAGCCCAGAAACATATCCATCCTTTCAGAGCCTTTCATCTTTGTGTAACAGGGTGGAAAATCCTGCCATCCTTGGCAATTTCTTTTTTTAATTTTTACATTGCCTGTGTTCTTGCAGGCCTGGCATTTGCCAGCCTAATGAGATCTTTTCAGCTATTAGAGGGCAATGCATGGTCTCTGATAATTAAATTATTAAATATTCAGTACTTTGCTGACTGACAACATATTGAAAATGTAGTCAGCATTTCAGTTTGGTTCTGGTATGAATCACAGGAGACAGGCTGTGACTGGTATACACCCGATTTTCACCAAATCTGAATCCTTTGTGCAAGCAGCACTTCTGCAGTTACATATAGGGGGTGGGTTTTGTACAGCTGCAACTTCAGACTCAAAGTCCTTACTATTGTGATGGCAACTTTAGGAATTCTAAGCTTAATACTTACAGCTATATAGGTGCCTTTAGGGTAGTCATCTTAACACAAATGCAGCATTTTTATTAAGTGATGAACAGTTTAGAAGATATTTTTGGTTTGTACTTCCTACTTTGGCCCTTACCTCTATTATGTTCTAAATGTCATCTTTGTTATCCTGTTCATTCTGACACAATGGTTGGAAAGGCTGATATTTATATTAGTGCCACAGCATTAAAAAAATGTATTTACTTATGCAGAGACTGAAAATAACTCATTGCCTTGAATAGTTTTTATAAAAAGATCAATTCTGAAGACCTGGAGAGGACAAACACTTCCAAGGTGCTATACAAATACTGTACACAGGGTTCAACACCTGCATGTACAACCATGTTTAAGAAAGTGTTTAACACAGTTACAACACACCTTTTGAAATAACACACCATAAATTTGTGATAACTGACCTGGCTCAGGGAGTGGAGCTACTTAATCAGCAGCTGCGTTTTACCACTGTCTTGAAATATGGAAAATACATAATTGCTAAGCTACATTGATTTACAGAAATAGTCGAGTGCTATTAAGAATGCAACATCCTGTTGGTTTAAGCCAGTTTATTTGCTTAAGCTGTTCTGGTGGGTCAGTGTTTATTGACTACATAACAGAGCCTCAGCACCAGGAAGTGTCACCAGTGTCCTTCCAGCAGTGATCTATAACTGCTGTGTTTCAGGGTCAAGTACTTCTGTGGTCACACCACCTCACACAGGACAGATTAATTTTTCCCCTCAAAATCCTACTTTGGCAAGACTTGGTCAATAGTACTTTTTGAAGGCTTTATCTGATACCTCCTTATTCTCTTTCCTCCTCTCCCCCACTGAGGGTAGGAGATGTATATTGAGTTGTCCTAGCAGCTCCCAGAGGGAGGGAAAACAGTTTTTGGGGTGCTTCTGACAGATAAACAGTGCCTGTACCTTTATTTGCCCAGCTGATTGTGTCGAGTCACAGATCCTGCAGGCTGTCCTCCTCTCTGCTGCAGTAACGTGCTGTCTTCAGTTCCACCATCCCCTCTCTCAATCTTCTGTCTTTCCTCGGTCCCGTTTAAAAGTGTAACAACAACACAAACCTTTTCTTTCTCCAAAGAAGTTTCTCTTGCCTCTGGATTTCTGGTAGAAAAGGGAAAAAGACCCCCCTGTTCAAATACCCAGAGAGAGCCTCCAGCTGAGGAACTGAATGCATTGGCTAATTGGCACAGGGAATTGTTGCAGGCATTCCCTGGAAGAATTGGCAATAGAGTTGGTATGTGCAAGGTGTAGCACTGTGCTGGTCAAAGCAGCTCAGTCTGTGATTTTCATGCCTGTGTTCCTGTCCTGTGGGAATGCAGGATACCCCAGTGCACAGGATACACGTGCAAATAGCATATCCTGTCTCTATTGCTTGATTTTTCCCAACTTTCAAGTGCTTGTCTCTGTAACCTAAATGTGATCTTTCAGCTGCTCCTGTAGCACCTGAATTTTTTTTTACTAGCTTTTTCAGTACAGTATATCCCTGTAAATCTTCGGGGGCTTTTTTGCCATTAATTCAGTTCTTATGGGTAGCAAAGTCTAGAACTGGCTAAGGAATAATTCTGAAGTATGGCACTATCTTGTCTGCACTGAAAAAGAAGGGTCAAAGGCTGTGGTGTGCTTAAGATTACATCTCATATATTAAATGCTAACATATTAAGCATTTTACAGCTCTGCATCATTATGTCTGCCCTCTGTGCTGACACGTGTGCCACTGACTAATCATTGTAGATGTAATAAATGCTGGATTGAAAGGGCAACTCCATTCCTGTCAGAATCTGCTCTCAGCACTCAGACTTTGGAAATACTGACACTCTCCTTTTATCATTTGGTAGAAAGCAAGAACTCTCATCTGCTGCTTAATTTTAGGTGCTCAGTTGCAGGGGAGGTGGATTAAGTATGAACTTCTAAAGTATTTATTACTACATCACCTTTTGGTGGTCTGATTTATACCAGGCCAACCTGACACCAGCCCTGAAGATACTGGAGATGAAAGGTGGAGAAAGTGGTGCTTCACCTCTTCCATTCATCTCAAACTTGTGCAAAGTCTCATTGTGATCAGTGGTGAAATCTTTTGGGCACCACAGCCTTGGCTCCTGTGCTCAGCCACACTCCTAGTCCTGAAGAAAATCTGAGGATCTCCAGCTCCTTCCTTCAGCCATAACCAATAGGGAAAGTTAATCTAAAATGGGTCACATTGAGATTCTGCTGCTAATCTACGTTCTATTTTGGTGTAAATCCTCTGTCATGTGTGCCCAGGCTACAAAAGGATCTACCTACCAGCTATCATGTTGAGCTTCTGCAAGTCTGTATGCAGCAATTACTAGTCCTAGATTAACTTATTATCTGTTCTTAAATTGCCTAAAATGTAAACCCACCAATCTTCTAATGAGGTGAAAGGTTAAGTAGAACATTAGAAGTTTTGAATATGTCAGAGGCCTGTGTAAAGAGAGGTAATTCTGCCTGGGAGTTTGCTGGATGTTTCTTCCTGAGCTCTGTTTTTCAGTAAGTAGCATTTAGTAATACAGAATACACTGCAAGAAATAAATTGTACACAAGAGCAGAATATTTCAGATTTAGAGGGTTAGTTTTTTTGCTCAAGTCTGTGCAAATGCTCATGTCCTGAGTGGGACAATATGAGGCACTTGTATTAAGAGCATTAAGTGATTGTTAACTGCACTTAGGCTGAGATTTCTAAGCTTTCTGACATTATTCAGGAAACTTAACAGTCTGTGTTGCTAACTGTAAAACCCAAGAGGATTAAATTGAGACTACTTCATGTGAAGCTTTATTTTTTAAGAAAGGCCAGGAGGCCTTTGTTTGGGATTACAGTAACTGGAATAGTTCACTTTGAGTAATTAAAGATTGAATTCAATAATTTGATTATACTGCCTGACACACATTAACCCACATACTTAAGTGTGACCACAACCTAAATTCTGTTGTGCTGAACCTGATGCTGCTTCAGCCTGGAAGAACTTAGGTTAGCTAAAAATAATTTTAATTATGGATGGTGCTACCCAGTATTCCAGTTTTAATGCCAATTGAGTTGTGGGTCAAACCTGTTAGAAAATTTCTGTTGGAGCCCACTGCAACATTTAGGACAGAGTGACTAGTTAAGGCTATTCTGAAGTCTGTGATGACTGCAGTACAGACCAACCCCATCCAGAAGGTGAGGGCACAGGTAAAGACAGGTGGCACAACAAACCCAGCTCCTCTGGGTAAAAGCTGCTTCATCAGCCTGGGTTTAACCTCCCTGACAAAGGCAAGGTGAGTTACTGACAGTGCCTTTTCAACCACACAAGAGTTTACATCTCTGACACGTGCTTGTTTCTCTGTGAATGTGAATGAGAGCGCAGAGAGCAGTGGCAGCTCGTGTTCGCAGCGTGACCCACTAACAGCAGCGCTGTCTTGCAGTACCTCACAAAGCAAGTGGAGCTCCTGCGCCAGATGAACGACCAGCACGCAAAGGTCTACGAGCAGCTGGATGTGACAGCGAGAGAACTGGAGGACACCAATCAGAAGCTGGTTGCAGAGAGCAGAGCTTCACAACAGAAGATATTAAGGTAACAAACTTCAGCCCTCCCCCAGCTGGTAAAAATCAGTGGGAGCAGCCCAGGTGTGTGGCTGTCCCTGCCTAGCGGTGTGCCACCATACTGCTAAATTGAAAGGACAGTTCTATTTAAAAGTCTTCCCACCTTTTAGCTTGACAGAGACCATTGAAAATCTACAAACACACATAGATGACCTGCAGCGACAAGTAGAAGAACTGAAGAAGCCTGGCCGAGGGCGGAAGAGCCACGAGAGGTCTGAGCAGCCCAGATCGATGCACAGCTTCTCCTGCTTGAAGGAGCTCTATGACCTGCGCCAGTAAGACTCCCTACCTTACCTAGGAAAGAACAGTGATGTCGTTTTAAGCAAGGCTTTAAAAACTAAGACACAAGCAGAGGTATGAGAGAAGCTGGCAGAAGAATTAGCTGATGTTCACAAGTAGCAAACTTGTGTCACAAGACACAACAAACAAGCTGTTGTGTCTGGGCTTCAGCACTACACGGAGGTAGAATATTCTGTATATTCTACTCTAGAATAAATCTGTACATCCAAAATGAAGTTATTTCTTGACAATTGAAAGGATAACTCGATGCTTCAAACTGCCAAAGGCTTGTGAGAATGCCATCCTACAGAATTGCCTTGTCAGTTCTGAAGCTGCTTTCTGCCATCAACAGTGACAAAAGTTACAAGAGTGCAGCGCTGTGAAAAAAAAACAGTGTCGAAGTACTGCATGCTACACTGAGGCAATATTTATTTAAACTTAAATTGTAGGTGTGCTTATTCAATCAGCTTGTCTGTTTTACTTGAAACTGATAATGAGCTGCCATTCTGCCTAAGCTGGGAGCTTGTTACCAGCTCTGTTCTGACTCCTAAACAGCCTGATAGGTCAGTGAAATGGCCCCTGTGAGTGCTCTGAGGGCTGTCAGCACACAGTTTAATTATGTCATTAGTTACTCAGGACAGGAAACCTTTAGGAGGTGTGGTCAGCTGGACTTCCTACGTTTGATAACACTTACTTTGTTTCTGCAGGTATTTTGTGTACGATCATGTGTTTGCAGAAAAGATTACTTCGATGGATAGTCAGTTAAGCCCTGTAGAAGAAGAAAATGAGAAGTTAAAAAAGGCAGTTACAGTTCTGCAAGCCCAGCTGAACCTGGAGAAAGAGAAGAGGGTGACGATGGAGGAGGAATACAGTCTGATGGTGAAGGAGAACTGCGAGCTGGAGCGGAGGCTCGTGGATACAGACTTGTACCGCGCACGGGCGGAGGAGCTGGAGGCAGAAGTCGCCGAAATGCGGCAGATACTTCAGTCTGAAAACACGTTCCATAATGCAGAGAAGTTGGTGCCAGAGTCCTTTTTCATTTCCTTCAAGGAATCTCTGGACAGGGAGCTGGGTCAGAGCCTGGCAGAGGATGGACTGGTGACAGAGCTGGAGAAGAAGGCGCTGAAGCGGAGCAGCAGCGAGACCCTGCTGAGCAGCGCGGTGGGCGCGGACATCCTGAGGGGCCACGAGGAAACCTGCATCAGGAGAGCTGAGGCCGTGAAGCAGCGAGGAATCTCTGTGCTCAATGAAGTTGATGCTCAGTATAATGCTCTGAAAGTGAAGTATGAGGAACTTTTGAAGAAGTGTCAGATGGATGAAGATTGTTTGAAACACAAGGCTGTCCAGACGCTGAAGCAGTATTCCAAAGACCTAAACGTGGGGAACACCCAGTATGATCTCTCGGCTAGCAATCAAGAATTCACAGTTGTGGAGCTAAGTGACTCTCCCACAAATGCTCTCCCTGAATATAAAGCACTCTTCAAGGAAATTTTTAGCTGTATCAGAAAAACAAAGGAAGAAATAGATGAACACAGAGCCAAGTACAAGACCCTCTCCTCTCAGCCATAACCTTATCTGTTAGTCAAGAACTTTATAAGAATGTCAGAAGATCCCTTAAACTGATCTATTTCTTGAGCACTCAAAATGAATGTTTTGGATTGGCTGGTAGACCTGTAGTGAACAAGCCAGTTAGTTAATAAGCCAGTTAGTTAACAGCTAGTTTCCCTGTTCCTATGTAGCAATAGATTTAATGTTTAGCACTGTCACACAAAATAGGGGTTGTAAAGCAAACAAACATCATAGCTTAATACTACACTACTACTTCATATCACACTTCATCTCTGGCTCGAGCAGTAACTGATGTTCATCTCCTTAGGCCACTTCAAAACTAACAGAGCTCAGAATTGTCTCTTTTAAGAGCCAGACTGAAGCTTTCCTTTGGTTCACAGATGAAGAAAATAACTAAAGCAAAGCCCCAACCAGTGTCATGAGCAGCCTCTCCTCAGTTCTCAAGGAGGAGGGGAGCAGCCTTGTGCTTGCTTTTGCAGGGCAGCAGAGCTGTGCTTGCTTCAAGCCAGTACCACATTTCCACATGCACTAAGCCCTCCCACTGATTGGTATAAATGTCTTCCTACTGAGAAAGGATTTGATGTCAAGTTTGTGTGGCTTTTTAGGTATGGTTTCCTTTGTAGGGCACTTTGTCTTAAGGCAAGATACTGTGAATTGACTATGTATGTGATTTGGGACCTACTGTTCTCTGGTGGTTGCAAAGTACATTTTTATGTGTATTGGGTAAGATAGAGAGTTGTAATTTAGCTTTAGTGGTAGCATTGACATAGTGGAGTAGCTTTTGATGTTACATACCACAAACTCTTAAGTGCTTGAGAGACAGGCCAGGTAAAACCTTACACTGTCTGTTGTTTCCAGTGTCAGCCTCTGTTCACCCATTCCATGCTGCCTGGGGGGTGGGAGGACAGACACAACTCTGCCAGCACGAATCCTACTGCAAACAGTCTTGTTCTGCCTCTCCTTTTCCACTCCCTAATAGTAATTCCTATGTACTCCAAGTCTGAAAAACAAAGAACATGGAGAAGCATGTTCAGAACTGTGGGAAGGAAACAAAGCGGTTAAGGAGAAGAGGCACAATAGAAGGCGACAACATCCTTCTCCCTGTAAAGGTCTGATAGTTTAACGTGGCCAGCAGTTCTTGGGAATCAGCTCTCTGCCTTTCCAGGCTGCTGGGATGTACCAAACATTGCCACAGAATGTTGAGTTTCTCAGCTTTAGTTGCACTGCTGCTGCTGCAGCTCTGCTGCCTTACTCTGCTCTCTGCCCAGCCTGTGGGGAGCTGCCCTTCAGCTGCAGTATTAAGACTTCATGTTGTGGGATTTTCTCTAAAACATGTATTACAGTCTGACAATTATTTAAAAATGGGAATCTGGATCTTCTGAATATTTTTCTAAGCAAATAAATAATCCAGTCAAGCTGCATGTGTAACTAGTAATTACATCCATCTGTGCCAATCAGCAAATAGTAAACTTGGTGCAGATGGCACCCGCATTATCTAGTCTGGCCATCTTTCCTACACAGATCAGATGGGGTTCCCATGGAATTTGTATTTTAGAAAACTTATGCTACATGGAAAAGGATAGGCCTGTCTAGGATGGAAATCCAGATGGAAATAAGCAGTTTCTCCTCATTGTTGTGGTGTTTGTCATGCTGTTAAAAAAGGAGGGGGTGGGGGGAAGCAGAAAAGCTGCAGTTGTGCCATCAGGGTCCTGTGCTGTCCCTTTCCCCCACCTGGACCCTTCTCACCTGGTCTGGCCCAGCTGGGACTGCAAAGCTGTAACCTGAGAAAGGCACGACAGGGTCAGTCCCAGATGATTTACTGGTAACATCCTCACCACTTCAGGGGGAGGGGGGATCTCCCGGAGATCCTGCTGGATCAGAAGACATGTAAAAGCAGTTCAGAATTTTTGGTTAAGCAGGTGAGCTTCAGTGGTTTATTACTTCTGGCTAATTTAGAACACTTTGATACGTACAATTTTTATGCTTTAAAAATACCAAAAATATCTCCTCAGAACTACTTCATTCTGCTGTACTGTACCTCCCCCCTGGCTGCCTGTGCCCCTGCTGAGCTCTGGCTGTGCAGGTTGTGCAATAACCCACTCCAGGCTGGCTCTTTTACAGCTTCTCCTGGAAAGCAGCTTTCCAGCTGTAGCCACAGGTAATGCTGGGTCAGTGCCAGCCAGGGCTGCCTGAACATAAAACACCTCCCAATTACACTGATGTAGTCAATAAACTCAACTGGCATATGAAGGTAGAATTTTAGCAGTTTAAAAATAGCCATTTTCCCCCCAAATGTGAAATGCCATACGTACGGTAACGACATTCTTAGCCAACCTTATCTGGATTAACCACCTTAATCTGCTTAGTTTAGTCAACAACTCAACTCAGCTTTTTCTGAGCATAAGTAGATGAAATCAATAGAATCTCCTTGAGCTTCTCATATGATGGAAGCTGCAGCAGAGACCAGGACCGGTGCAGTGTGTTCTGCAGAGCCCACAGTGGATTCTCCTGATCCTGCTGGAGTTGGGCTCCACTGCTAAACCCTCCCAGGGCTGGGTCCTGGAGCAGCAGGAGCTGCACAGCCCCCGAGGGCAGGGCCAGCAGGGATTCACAGCCTTTGCTCTCCACCTCTGACCTCTCCTGCAGCTTCCCTGACCTCGCCATCCTCTGCAAGACTTCAGGCTGTGAAAGGAGCCGGTGCCGCTTCTGCTTCTCCCTGGACAAATACAAGGCGGGGTAGAATTGACCTTTGAGATAAAATTTTATTTAAAAATTACACAAAATAGAGGTTTTACATGGTTTCCGTGTGGTAACTACAGCTGGATGCCTTCCAGAGGGTGCCCTGGGTTACTTACCTCGCTGTACTCACTCAGAAACAAAACGTCCCTCAAACCAACCCCACACCAGGAGAAGAAATCCAGTAGTTGTTCCCTGTGTTTCAGATGTAGGTACTTTTCCAAATAACTCATTTCACAGACAACAGGTGAGAACAATTGCAATGTAGTACAGAGTTCACAGACAGTGATTTTGTTCCCCCCTCCCAGGCCTGACATTCCCACGAACATGACTACCTGCTCTCTATCCAGAGGGCTGCAAGGGCTATAACAATGCTCAGACTTAATATGAGCATCCAGGGATTTAACAAAAACTGGGATGTTTGTAAACAAATTTAATTTATTGGCAATTACTTACAAAATAAAGTTTTAGACCATGATTTTCCATCATGTCTGTGTCGCTATATTGTTTTATTTTTTTTTTTGTAATGGAACAGAAGGAGAATTGAAATACATCAGAAATCCCAGATTACTCAAGCTGCAGACAGGGTCCCACGTGCCTTCCCGGCTGCTCCCACACAAACTGCGAGTGCTGGGGTGCCGGTGACGGGTCTGCAATGCCCACGTGCCCCGCGGGAGGTCAGACCCTGCCCCTCCCGAGGCCCGGCATTGCTCCGGCTGCGCCACCGCCGCAGGTTCCTCTTGTGTCCCCGATCACCTGGCAGCTGTCACCGCTGTCAGGACTGCACCGTCCCCTTTAGATACCACATTCCACCGTAGCTCACGCAGCAGTCCTGGGGAGACAGGGAGAGGCTCTGTCAGGGTGCTCAGGCATCGGAACAGGTTGATGGTTGGACTGCATGATCTTCAAGGTCTCTGCTGACCTTGATGATTTTATGATTCTAAACTCCACAAGGTCTTGAAAACCCCTGTCTGGCCCTGGCACAATGACTGGGATCAGTAACAAGCTCCTCTCCCATGCACAGGACCTGGAGTGCAGGTTTTATCTCCACCCTCAGGACCAGACCCCTTAAATGAAGGTGACACTGGGCTGGGGGAAGGTTGAGAGGCCACAAAGAGGACAAAGGGTGGCACAGCAGTGAGGAACTGGGGTGGCTTCTGGAGGCAGAAACAGCTGAGGGAAGGTTGTGTGAGGGCAGAGGACCAGGGAAAGGAGGGATAAGCACAGGAGGGATAAGCTCAGGGGTGGAGGCTGAAGGGAGCAGCAGGACAGGGCTGGAGTGTGGGAGCAGTCACTGGATCTGAAGCCTTTTAAAAAACCCCGTTCTGTGACAGTGAACTGCCCAGCCCCAGAGCCACATTCTGCCCACGTGTGATGCTCACAGCGGGGGAGCACCAGGCAAAGGATGCAGGAAATGGGCTGTCTCTGGCTCATTTCCTTGTTTGTATTCCATGAGCACCAAGGCTCTGGAGTTCTGAGCTAAAGGCCTCTCTTTCTTCTGTTCCCACCCTCCCACTCAGGTAATTCAACACAGGCACAAGGGCTGCCACACAACTGACGCTGTGCAGCTTCAACAGATCTTTTTTCCGGGAGTTCTGGGACTTGTGCATGGCACAAACAAACCAGCCCTGTGTGGAGGCTCAGAAAGAGGCTTTGCAGACTTGCTCTGCAGATACAAAAACACAACCCCTGTCAGTCTGCTCCTCTGTGTATAAAAAAAGGAGCACAGGCAGATGGGGAAATCGGAGTCAACAAATCCAATTTCATTCAAAGAGGAATCCACTCTCTTGCGGCTTAAAGAAGCCAGAGAATTCTTCCTATTTCATTAAATCATACTTCTAAATTTTATTTCAGAAACAAAGGTGATTTCCCATGTTTCTGTGACAAATGCACTCAGGGCAATAAAGCCTAACAACGCCAGGCTGGTCACACAACAACCTCTTTTTTTACGTAAAAACCCTGCGTAATTTTTTTAGGGAGGATATTTTTTCTAGTAATTGGTGATCTGTTAAAAAGCAACAGCATCATGAAAAACTAATGCCAGTACATTGTCTGGATGTTCCAGGAGAGCTGATACTTGAGCTCGTGCAGTCGCTGACAACTCTCCCAGCACAGGAAATGCTGTCGAGCAGGCAGAAACGGCTGAGCTTATTTTACTGCTAAGACAACCAGTTTCTTTCAAGCAAGACCAGTTTGCTTATTATCAAGGCAACAGATCTGTAATTCTTCAAAGATGCTATTATTCATCTGCAGATCACAATGTAATAAAAGCACTTAAGCACTTGTCTTATTGAAGTGGGTGACAGTGAGCAAGGGCCCAGCCACAACGATTAAAGTATTACATTAGTTGGCAACTTTCTGCTTGGCCATCCTGCACCGCTTTTAAAGTCATGGCCTGTGTGGTCTGTACTTTATACCTCAAACTTCTTGAGCAAGTAAATGGTGCGGCTTCAAAGACAGATGAAAGGATTCAAATAAACATTCACAATGAGATGTGTTAGCTACTGCTTTGCCTGCTGGTTTTGCTCTTCCCAAAGCTGTACATCCTGCTAGAGAATGAAATGCATTTCCTTCTGAACATGTGGCACTTGTGCTCTTCAGCATTACCAGCCACAGTCAGCTGGTAACTCAGAACACTGGGCAGAA